CCCCCCCCACTCTAGGCCTTCATCGAAATTCTTTGTTTCCTCCTTAGGCCCTGAACCCCCGAGACGCTCAGACAGACAGAACGTTGCCAGAAGGGGCTGTGGGCAGGCTGCCAAGAGGCTGCCCAAAGTGGCCTTTTACACCCCGACAAATCCGCTCCTGGGCTGCCCCAGGTCCACCCCCCGAGTCTCACCTGCGGGCTCGGGCCACTGGGTCTCTCCGCTGCAATGCACGCCCCAGATGGCAAGTCCTCCACCGGGTGAGCAGGGTGCGAGCAGTTCTGTTTCGGAAAATATCTCCCTCAGCCACTTGGGCTGAAGGAGGGGAGGTGCCAAGGACCTTGCCGAAGGGAGGCGGTTAAACGCGAGGAAATGAACACCTTTAGTGTGGTTTGCTAACAGGAACTCAGGGGAAAGGGACCCCAAAAAGAAAGAACACAGGTGAGAAGTTGAAAGAAATGAAATGGGGGGAGGGGATTCAATGGCAGGAGCTTAGGAGAAATTCCCAGTGGCAGGGACACCCGCATTTTATTCTGTGTCTATGTAGATATAGTGTCAGGTGGGTGCTGGATTTATTGGGGTGATCGGTTGTAAGTAATATAAATGCCTAACCACTACGTTGTACACCCGAAACTAATATAATATTGTACATCCCCTGTAACGGAAACATAAAAAAATTATTTTTTTAAAAAGATGCAATTGTATTACGTGGCAAAATATACGGATCACAGGGGACAGTCCATTCACACGGCTGTGCAGCCATCACCGCCACCCACCTCCAGAGCTGGTTTCATCTTCCCACGCGGAAAACTCTGTACCCAGATCACGGACTTTGTCATGGGTGGACCAAGTCGGGGGCCAGGCCACGGGAGAGAGGCCGAGCAGGCTATGGTCAGGTGAAGGGCACCTCCTTAGCCAGGGGCTCAGCTCTATGGCCCTCCCTGGGTAGACACTGCCACCTGCTGGCCCATCTTTTGTGTGTTTTTTTAAATTGATTTTTAGAGACAGAGAAAGAGAGAGAAACATCGATCTGTTGCTCCACTTACTCGTGCATCCTTGGTTGATTCTTGTATGTGCCCTACTGGGGATCGAACCCAGAACCTTGGCTCTAACCAACGGAGCTGCCCCCGGCCACGGCCTTGCCCGGGCCCATCTTAAGAAGAGCTTTCTCCTGCGTATAATCCTATCTTCCTGGGGCCCCACCCAAGTCACCTGCTGCAGTTTGACCGTTTCAATGTTTGGATCTCCGCCCACTGATGGCTTAACTCGACTGTCCCCCTAATGCCTCTGCAGAGGCGGCTTTGTTTGCCTTCCTTTCCAGTTGGCCGTGGACAGCCTGGGCCCTGGGATAAAGGCGTGCAGGCCACAGAGATGTTCCCGGCCCTTGTCTATTGTTTCTTAGTCTGACGGTTGGTTTGGTTTTTTTTATGTATTTTAAATTTTTATTTATTTTTATTTTTTAAAGCATTCTTTAAAAAATATGTTTTTATTGATTTCGGAGAGAGAAAGGGGGAGAGAGAGATAGAAACATGAATGATGAGAGTCATGGATCGGCTGCCTCCTGCACGCTCCCTACTGGGGGTCGAACCCGAAACCCAGGCACGTGCCCTGACCGACCTCCCCGGACTCCTCCAGTCTGGACTAGCTTCCCCTGTCCTTGATGTTCCCTCCATCCTCATGACATTTTATTTCCTTCTCAACACACAGCCCTCTCTGAGGCTTCAGGGCCTCTCTCAGGCATGGGCCCCTTCCAATTTTTATTCTTGAAAAGGACTTCCCCTCCTGGCCAGCCCCAGTGTGTAAGCTTCAGACCCCATCGAAATCCATTTGTACCCAGAGCACGGGCCCAGGCTGCATCTGGGACGTCCTGTGCCCGCCTCTGGCAGGAAGACAGACTCCAGCGCTCCTCCCGCCGGGCTATTTTCACAGGCCCTTGGCCTCCCCAACTCTTCAGATCTGGGCGCCAAGAGGCAGCCTTGCCCAGAAACCTTGGTAACTGCCCCGCTCAGTGTGCCCTGAATTCAACACAGGGGTGGGGGGTCTACAGACCCTGAGAGCTGCTACCTTCTCCCCCTGCCTTGACTTCCCCAGATAGACATACACATTCCCAGTCAGCAGCCGTAGCATTTGAAACACCCAGCGAGGCCCCAGGCCGGGGAGCTCGGTTGGTTAGAGGGCCCTCCCGGTACACCAAGGTCGCAGGTTCAATCCCCCGTCTAGGTCACATATGACAACCAATTAGTGAGCCCAGGCCGGTGTGGCTCAGTTGGTTAGAGCGTCATCCTGTACATCAAAAGGTTGCGGGTTCGATTCTTAGCCAGGGCACATGCCCGGGTTGTGGGTTCGATCCCCGAGTCGAGGTAGGTACAAGAGGCAGCCGATTGACATTTCTCTCTCCCTCTCCCTCTCCCCTCCTCTCTCTCTAAAATCAATCAATATTTTTTTTATAAAAGAAACTACTCAGGGAACAAAAACGGAAAAACCGAGGTCTCTGTAGACTCTCTCGTCTCTTCCCTTTCCAAGTTTTTCTGACGAGCACCTCCTTAGGTTCAGCGCCTGCCTTACCTCTGAGCAGCCTGGGCCCTTACTTAGCGCCCAGGGTAACCACCACCCAGAGACCAGAGAGGAAGCCTGTCTGCCTCCTCCTGAAACTCGGGCCTGAATGATAGAAGCACTAAATCAGGTTCACGGGCAAAGGGCCGATGCTTGCAATGAATTCCTACGGCCAGGCTGAGTCCAGGGAGGCCGGCCGACTCCTAGGCCGGAGTTTCCGTCTGACCAAGAAAGGGGAGAGACCGAGGAGCCCACGGCACCTGGTGGTACATCCCGTGACACAGTGAAAAAATCGCTGACCTGGTGCCGGGAAATCCAAGATCGAGGGGTGCTGGTCGCCTCCGTGCCTGGTGAGGGCCCTTTCCCAGGTTGCAGACGGCCGACGTCTCCTGTCGCCTTAGAGGCTGGGAAGCCACCCAGAGACATCTTCACGCCCCTTTTTACTGGGGGGCCCCCCCGGCGAGCTGTCCTTTGAAACTGGAGAGAGTGTCGCCTCCTGGTGGCAAAAGCAATAAAGAAAGGAGATCCATCCGGTCAGAGCACATGCAAGAATCAACCAGCGGCCCTGGCCGGGTAGCTGGGCCGGTTAGACCATGATTCAGACACGCCAAGGTTGCGAGTTCGATCCCGGGTCAGGGCACGTGCAAGGACGAATCAACCAATGAATTCAGTGGAACAACAAATCCCTGTCCTGACAGTGGACTGGGTTAATTCTAGAGCAAGTCCCCAGAGCATGTCGTTGCCGACGTCACGACGGCCTGTTACTTGCGAGGGGAGAGCAGCAATGGGGAGAAGTGAGGTTACACTGAGAAATGGTCATTTGGACCCAGGTTTTGAAACATATGAAGGCAGTGGACTGGGGTGTGTGTGTGGGGGGGGGCGGTGGACTGCCCTGGGCTCCCCCAAACCTGAGAATGCAGATGTTGTGCATCTGAGAGCCCAGGAGCAGGCCGCTGCTCCCCGAGGCGCCCGCTCTCCTTCTGGCCGTCTGGATGCCCTTGGGAGCACCTGACGCGACCCGGCCCTGGCCGAGCTGGCTGCGGTCACTGCACGTCCTGGGCATTCCTGACATAGTCTGTCCTGAAGCGGGGGCAGGTGCTGGTGGATCGGCATGAAAAACAGCCCGGAGCCAGGGAGGGGAAAGGTCGCCGGGCTTTGGGGCTGTGTCCTGGGGGAGGGGACCCGGTTACCAGGGGAACAAGCGCCGGTCCTTAAGAAGGACACCGACCCTGTCCTGAGCACCTGTCCAGTTGCCGGGTCCTGACCCAAACGTGAGGGCCGTTTGTCCGTCAGGAGGGGCTCTAAGAGGGGACCGGGGGGCTCATTCAGACGGCTCGTCCAGGCTCACGGGGCCAGCTGTTACCTTGTCAGGGATTCTGCGAACCCGTTGTTAAATACTCAGAANGGGGACCGGGGGGCTCATTCAGACGGCTCGTCCAGGCTCACGGGGCCAGCTGTTACCTTGTCAGGGGTTTTGCAAGCCCGTTATTAAAAATTAAGTTATATAAACTTACAATGAAAAACATTGCNAAGAAACCATTATTTGTACAGTTGATTCTGGAAAATATATGGAGTTTGTACGATGCTGTCTATTAAATGCCGTCTTTTAAAGGTTAAAAATTAAGTTATATAAACTTACAATTAAAAACATTGTATTAAAAGACTCAAAACTCATCATTTCCAGGTAAAAAAGCAGAAAAAACACAACAAAAAAACTCATAGACACACAACAGTATGGTGATTACCAGGGGAAAGGGGGGTGGGGGAGGTAGGAGATGGTAAAGGGGGAATAAATAGTGATGGAAGGAGACTTGGCTTTGGGTGGTGAACATACAACCTACAGATGATATGTATAGAATTGTACACCTGAAACCTATTTAATTTTTTAAAAATATGTTTTTATTGATTTCAGAGAGAGGGAGAGAGAAACATCAATGATGAGAGTCACGGATCANTTTATTGATTTCAGAGAGAGGGAGAGAGAAACATCAATGATGAGAGTCACCGATCAGCTGCCTCCTGCTCGCCCCCTGCTGGGGATCGAGGGGCCTGCACCCGGGCCTGTGCTCCCACCAGGAATCCAACCAGTGAGTCGACACTCAACTTGCTGAGTCACACCGGCCAGGTGAAACCTATATAATTTTATTAACTGATGCCACCTGAATAAATTTAATAAAAAAGATTCTGATCAAACAAATCTTGCAAAGGAAAGATAACTTAGCTTCAAGTCTACGATAGAAAGGCCAAGAGGGAATGACCGATTTTCTGCTCCCTTACGATGTTTAGGATCATGCCAAGGAGGGTGTCAGCTCCCGGGGAGCAGAGCTACGCTCTGTGTGCCAAAAAACGTCATGTGCTGTCCTTGAGCACGGACGTAGTCAGGTGGCTGGCTGCGTGCGGCCCGCGCTGGTTCTCCCACAAAGAGCCACCCGGCCCTCACCTGGTTCTGCCATCCAGTGTGAAGCGGCGATTAAATCCTGCGGGAAGTTTCCATGTCTCCTTTCTCCATGAAAATCCGGACCCACTTCTCTTTATCTCTTACATCAAAGTAGCCACTGCCGCCCAAGACGCAGCAAATCTTACATCCACGTGTAAGGGCGCCTCGCAAATATCTTTTCTTTTTTTTTTTTAAATGTTTTTATTGATTTCAGAGAGAGGAAGGGAGAGGGAGAGAGAGATAGAAACATCGATGGGAGAGAGAAACATCAATGGGTTGCCTCCCTTCACACCCCGACTGGGGACCGAACCTGCAACCTGGGCATGTGCCCTGACTGGGAATCAAATGGGGGACCTTTTGGTTTACTGGACGACACCCACCCCACTGACCCACCCGGCCAGAGCATGAATGGATAATTTTAACACCACCACGTGTCTCGATGGTACCATTCTAAGCATTTTATCAGCATAAACCTATTTAGTCCTAATAATTACTGGTAGTTAGGTGTTACTGTGTCCATTTGCAGATAAAGAAACTGAGGCTCGGAGAAGTGTAGTGATTTGCCCGGGCAATGAGACAATCATAACAAATGATTTCAGCGTCAGGGAGCAAACTTGAAGCTCCAGAAAGGTAATATTACCTTCCAATCATTTCCCTGTTGCTCCAACTTTCAATCTCTCATTTTGTTAGGAATTTTTAGGATTAATTTAAGCAATCTGTGAGGAAATCCCATGACATTAAATAGTACTTTAAAAATCTTCCCAAAAAATAAAAAAATAAAAATCTTCCAAACGTGTTTCTGGACCCTGCCTGTTACCTGTCCACAGATTTAAATTTCACAAAGTTAAAATCAGAGTCGTTTTTTGGTCTCTTTTACCAGGACGAGGCCTGGGGGGGGCTGTTTACCTTGTGTGGTGACTTAGATGTGAATGGATTCTGGGCCCTGACCCCTATACCCACCCCGGTGCAGGCCGCAGAAAGTGGGCTTGAACTTGGCCACCAGGGATGAGCTGGGTCTGGCCACGGGGAGTGGAAAAGAGTCCACTAGATGCAAGGAAGGGACAGTGCAAAGGCTCAGAGGCAGGATGATTCCGGGCAATGGCTGAAGTTCGGGTCCATGGGGAGAAATGTTGATGAGAAGGGTGCTGATGGGGGAGGCGACAGCTAAGAAATGGTATAAGAGGTTCGGGTTTTATTGTTTGAGGCGGTGGAGAGCCGCTGCAAGTATTTGACTGTGAAGTCACTGCTCTGGGCAGGACAGAGGGGAGGGCAGATGGGGGGGAGGGAGCACAGACTGCTGGCAGAGGAACCCCTTTAGAGGCGACCATAAATAGCTCTGCCATCAGCACCTCCCCCAAGGCCCTCCTCTCCTCCTGCGCTCTGATTTCTAATAACAGCAGCAAAATTCTTCCTGCCCCAGGGATGCACGACCGAGTCACTCTGACTCCGCCCCCTGCCACAGGTCCAGGGGCTGCCCCTCCTATCTCTATCCCATCTCCGCAGTCTTGCCTTTCTTGGGGTCCTGCCCCTGGCTCAGGAACCCCGGCCTGACTTCCTCCTTTCCAGGCCTGATCCCCTAACATCCCCTCACTGCTGTTGCCCGATGTTACCCCCCTGCCTACCGACACCCCACAGAACCAATGCCCTGGAGTGTCCACGGGGGTCCAGCCCCCCTTCCCAGATCTTAAATATCTGTGAAAAGCCAGCTTGATGGGTGTTCCTTCCCTAAACTCATCAAGGTCTCCCCCATCAGAGGTGACCTTCTCTCTGCCAGATGCCTCCTGTGTCATCTAAACTCCTCTTAGGAGCCCGGCTGGTGTGGCTCAGCGGTTGAGCATCGGCCTATGAACCAGGAGGTCACGGTTCGATTCCCGGTCAGGGCACAGGCCCGGGTTGCAGGCTCCAGAATCCCCAGTAGGGGGCGAGCAGGAGGCAGCTGATTAATGACTCTCATCATTGATGTTTCCCTCTCTCTCCCTGTCCCTTCCTCCCTCTCAAATCAATAAAAAACATACTTAAACTCCTCTTAGGACACTTCCCTCCACGCTTGCTGTGTGGTGATTGCATAGATTGCTCCTGAAGGGTAGGGACTGAGTGTCTTGCACAGGAATCTAGAACCGATAGCTAATTGGGATTTGATTACAAGTGTGGAAGGGAGGGGCTTCCCAATTCTGTCGACCAAACTGCAGGATTTAAGCACCTTTTCTTGGAATTCCAAAAAAGGACAATAAATAGGGGGGCTCTGGTTTCTTTTTTTATTAATTTTTTTCTCCTTAAAAGAGCCATGATCTATAAGCTAGACATTGGCGACTTCCCTCCCAGCTGTGTGACTTTGAGCAAGTGTCCTGACCTCTCTGAGCCAATGGAGCTGACACCAGCTGCCTCGCCAACACAGACACTGGCGGCCTGGGAGGCGGGCAGTGAGAGGCAGTTTAACCTGAAGACTTTGCCTCTACTCCCCTGGGCTGCCGCTACTGTGCTTGCAAAGGACACAGGTGCCCCCACTCTGGTCCCTCTGCAGGCAAAGGCCAGAATCTGGAACACACCGAGGCTTCAGTACTGCCTCTGGCGGCCAGGCCGCTGACACACTGGTCCACCATGAAGAGGAACAGATGAGCCCCTGGGGGTGAGCAGCAATTTACTTGTATTATTTTTTAAAATTTATCTTTATTGTTGAAAGTATTACAAATGCCCCTGTTGAAAGTATTACAAATGCCCCCCTTCTCCCCCCATTGAA